GGCCTGCGGCAGCAGAGGGACGCGGGCACCCCGAGCCAGCCGGCAAAGTCTCTCGTCGTCGTCGTCGTCGTCGTCGTCGTCGTCGTCGTCTTCGTCAATAACGATCTCGAAAATTACGACAAAAAACGATGACAGAAAACGACCACAAACATAACACAAAAACCAACCGAACACGGAATCCAACAACAAAAAAACAATCAGAAAAACGACCGCAATCATAAAATGATAACGACGGCGACAGCGAGAACGGCAACAGCGGACGATTATAATGAAAACGACGACCACGACAAAGGAAAGGCACGCGACGACGACGACGGACAAACAAAAGACAAGACAGGCTGGAACAGAAAAAGTAGGCTGGGCGACAACGGGTGGGGGCCCGCGTGGCCGAGAGAAAAGCACAGCGTCGACACCATGATGTGGCCAGGGCAGCAGACTACCTCGACAGACCAGCGCGGCAGGCCATCATTTAGTTTGTTCTGTTGCGTTTATGGGTTTCTCTGACGTTCTCGCCAATACGGTCTCTGACGCACGTGGTGGATAAAAAACGGCGCTTCCCGTTCTTGTCCGGTCAGGTTCCGGAAAATTGGCCGTTTCGCTCGGGACGTCCTCAAAAAATCGGCTCCGGAGGGGACTCCGAAGCAGCATTATCTTGGAATCGCTCCCGGAGGGCCTCCAAACGGCCCAAGAAAGCCCCCGAAGGCCCCCCAGAGGACCCCCAGAGCGCCCCAAGAGACCCCCAAGAGGCCCCCAAGGGGCGGCCAGAGGCCCGCCAGAGCGCCCAAAACGCCCCAAGAGACCCCCAAGAAGCCCCCCAGGGGCTCCAAAGAGGCGGCCAGAAGTCCCCCAGAACGCGCGAAAAGGCTCCAGGAGTTCCCTGAGAGCTTCAAAACGCCCCATAGAGCCCCCGAAGGCCCCCCCCGGGACTCCCCCAAGAGGCCCCCGAGAGGCCAGAGGCTACGACAGCCCCAAGAGCGTCCAAGATACCTCCAAGACGGCGCCGAAGCCAGGAAACGCAACAGGGATGCCCACAGGGCGTTCAGAGATGGTCTCACGCTCTGCAGCAACACCATGCTTTCAGGGTCCGCGGATATTCCTTTCTGATTCGCGGCTGCCTGCTTCTTCTCTCAACGGCGGACTGCAGCAACACCGTGCTTTCATGTTCGGAGGAGTTTCCTTTCGATTCGCGGCTGCCTGCTTCTTCTCTCAATCCCGGATGTCTGTGACCCTGTACCTTACGATGTATTTAGCCTCGAGTCTGCTCCGAAGGAGCCGATGCGGACGCGTAGGTGATAGGGGAGGAAAGAGGGAGGAGGAAAGGGAGGAAGGGAGAGAGAGGGGGGTGGGCGGAGAAGGAGACAAGGAGGATCATCGAATGGTCAGGGGCGGGGTGGCCAGGAAAAATGGCCGTTTCGCTCGGGACATCCTCAACAAATCGGCTCCGGAGGGGACTCCGAACCAGCATTATCTTGGAATCGCTCGCGGAGGGCCTCCAAACGGCCCAAGAGAGACCCCGAAGGCCCCCCAGAGGACCCCCAAAGCGCCCCAAGAGACCCCCAAGAGCCCCCAGGACGGCCCCCAAGACGACCCACGGTGCCGCCAGGACGGCCCAGGATGTCCTCAGGACGGCCTCGAGACGGCCTCCAGACGAACTCGAGGATGACGGGAAGCGCCTCCGGCGTGCACCGTTGGTTCTGGGGCTTACTTTTCTCTAACTAAGGGGTACGGGCCCGCACTTCGGAACTCGCTGGCGGCGGCCTGCGGCAGCAGAGGGACGCGGGCACCCCGAGCCAGCCGGCAAAGGTCCTCTTGCGTCGTCGTCGTCGTCGTCGTCGTCGTCTTCGTCAATAACGATCTCGAAAATTACGACAAAAAACGATGACAGAAAACGACCACAAACATAACACAAAAACCAACCGAACACGGAATCCAACAACAAAAAAACAATCAGAAAAACGACCGCAATCATAAAATGATAACGACGGCGACAGCGAGAACGGCAACAGCGGACGATTATAATGAAAACGACGACCACGACAAAGGAAAGGCACGCGACGACGACGACGGACAAACAAAAGACAAGACAGGCTGGAACAGAAAAAGTAGGCTGGGCGACAACGGGTGGGGGCCCGCGTGGCCGAGAGAAAAGCACGGTGTCGACACCATGATGTGGCCAGGGCAGCAGACTACCTCGACAGACCAGCGCGGCAGGCCATCATTTAGTCTGTTCTGTTGCGTTTATGGGTTTCTCTGACGTTCTCGCCAATACGGTCTCTGACGCACGTGGTGGATAAAAAACGGCGCTTCCCGTTGTTGTCCGGTCAGGTTCAGGAAAATTGCGGAAAAATTGCCGTTTCGCTCGAGACATCCTCGAAAAATCGGCTCCGGAGGGGACTCCGAACCGGCATTATCTTCGAGTCGCTCCTGGAGGGCTTCAAAACGGCCCCAAAGAGCCCGCAAAGGCCCCGACACGACCCAAAAGGGCCCCGAAACGGCCCGAGAGGACCCCAAGACAGCCCCAAGAGAGCCCCAGAGAGCCCCAAGAGCCACCCAAGAGGGCCCCAAGAGGCCGCCAAGAGAGCCCCAAGACGGCCAAAGGCGTCCAAGAGTCTCCAACACACCCCAACAGGGCCCCAAGACGGCCCAAGAGGGCCCCAAGACAGTCCAAGAGGGCCCCCAAAGGGCCTCAAAAGGACCCCCAAGAAGGCCCATAGACTCCACAGATAGAGCGATCGGTAACGCAAAAAGCTCTCCACACCAAGGCTCCCAAGAGCGACCGGTGACGTGACAAGCTCGTGACATCAAGGCTCCGACGAGCGAACGGTGACGTGAACAATTCTCGACACCAGGGCTCCCAGAGCGAGCGGCAACGTAAAAAGCGCTTCACACCAAGGCTCCGAAGACACACCATCCAGGGACCAAGTTGGCGGCTTTTTCGGCCCAGGACGGCTCCAGAGACCTCCACGACGGCCCCGGAGCGCTCCAAGAGGTTTCCAAGACGGCCCCAGAGGCGCCCAAGAGGCCCCAAGACAGCCCAAGAGCGCTCCAAGAGAAGCGAAGATGGCCCCAAGTCGAAGCGCCTCCGGCGTGCACCGTTAGTTCAGGGGCTTAATTTTCTCTAAGTAAGAAAGGGGTATGACGGGAAGCGCCTCCGGCGTGCACCGTTGGTTCAGGTGCTTAATTTTCTTTAACTAAAGGGTACCGATCGCACCCCGCACCTCGCTGGCGGATTCCGGAAAATTGCGGAAAAAATGTCACTCCGCTCAAAAAATCTGACCAAGACGCGCCCAAGACGGCCACCAGGGCTCCAAGACGGCCCAAGAGCGCTCCAAGACCGCCCTAGACGGTTCCAAGATGCCCTAAGATGGCTTCCAGACGGTCCAAGAGAGCTCCAAGACGGCCCAGGAGGCCCTCGAGAGGCCTCCAAGACGCCTCAAGAGGCTTCGAAGAGGCCTCACAAGAGCGCCAAAGAGGCACACATCTATGATTTTTGAATAGTTTTTGAAGGTTTTTGGGGTTCTCGCCTTTTCCGTTTCCCGACGCTCCAAGACGGCCCAAGAGGCCCCCAAGATCGCCCCAAGACGGCCCAAGAGGCCCCCAAGATCGCCTCAAGACGGCCCAAGAGGCCCCCAAGACGGCCCCAAGAAGGCACCAGAAGGCCCCAAGGCGGCCCCAAGACGGCCCCAAGAGGCTTCGCGGCGGCCCAAGAGGCCGTCAATATGGCTCCTAGAGGGGGCCCAGACGAGGTACACGAACGGACTTTTCGGGTCCTCGGCCCCAAGTGCCCCCCCGGAGGGTCCAGGAGGCCCCCGGGAGCCCCCCAAGACGCTCCAAGAGGCCCCCAAGAGGCCCGAAAAAGGCCCCCAAGATGCCCCCAAGACGGCCCAAAAAAACGGCCCCCAAGAGGCTTCAGAATTGCTTCTAAGAGGCCTACGAGAGACCGACCACGACATCCCAAGGCTCCATTACGAATAATGACGTGGGCAGCTTCGAACGCCAGAGATCCCAGTACGAACGCTGGCGTCCAGAGCTTTGACGACAAACACTGCTATGAGCAAAAACGGCGCTTCCCGTTCTTGTGCGGTCAGATTGCAACATCGTTGGTGCGTCTTGGGTGCTCACTGGTCCTCCTCCTCCTCCTCCTCCTCATCCTCCTCCTCCTCATCCTCATCCTCCTCATCCTCATCCTCATCCTCCTCTCCCTCTCTCTCTGTCTCTCTCTCTCTCTCTCTCTCGCTCTCGAAGAAGAAGAAGACAGAGACGTCATAAGCACAGGAGCTCGAGGGTCCGCGCTGAGCTCTCGGCGCCACGAAAGGCTCCCGCGCCCCTCTGCGCGCGCGAGCGAGTTGCCGTGGGAGCGCCCACGCTCCAGCACCGCTGCGCGACTGCGCTCGGCCCCTGCGGAGGGAGAGGGGCCGCTCCGAAGGCGTCGCGGGCAGGTGGCCGGGGCACTGGGGGCTGCGAAGAGGAGGGAGTTGGTTTCCTGTTGGTGGTCCATGGGGCCTGGCCGTGAGGGCCCCCAGAACTGGACGTCGAACCAAACCATCCACGCTGCCAACGCACTCGAGGTGAAGACGTCGAATACACATTCCCTGAGATCCGACGTTGCGACAAATGCAGCATCGCGAGAAAAAACGAGGGCGGAAGGATGGGAAGGCACTGCAGGGCGGCTGGCGCAGAGCGCATGGGCGAGGGCCTGGCGGAACGCAGCTGGGGCGGGCCTTCTCGGAACGCTCCGAAGGTCTCAGGCCTTTTCCGAAAACACGGGGTGCCGCTCAGAAGACCGGAAGGCGTCTGAGAAGCACATTGCTTGATCCGCGCTCTGCCCCTCGGGGAGAGTCGGGGAACAAACAGTCACACGCACGCACACACACACACACACACACACACTTACACACACACACAACTCGGAGGTCCGCGCGGACGTCTTGCATCGTCGCTGGAGCCCCCATGGCGGCGCCTCCTGGGGGGTCCAGCGCAGATCCGAGAAATCCGCGCGGACCTCCGAGTTGCAATGTTTATGTCACTGTTGCTCAACTAAAAGAGGGGGCGGAGCGAGCCCGCATGCAGGAGGAGCGGGACCGGCGGCGGGGACGCCGCCGTTCTGGAGGCTCGGCACGGTCGAAGAGGGCACGGAAAGGATGAGGACGAAGACCAGCAGCAGACTTGCTCATTTTGAAGAGGACTCGTTGTTGGCGTCGCCGCGGACGTTGCCCATTTGAAAAACAGGGTTGCCTGCACAACCGCGGCCGCTGTCGATGTTGGACAACGTCTGCTGTCGGGCGTTGTATCCATGTTTCGGCAGCGCGCCCAGGGGGGAAGTGACAGGGGCAGGCCTTCTCAGAAGACGGCGGGGCTTCCTCTTGCCATCTGAGAAGCCGTCCCTGTCTTCGTAGAAGGCTTAGAAAGCTTCTCAGAAGGCGCGAGGGGGTCCGAGAAACTCTGACGCCTTCTGAGCAGGCCTGCCCCTCATCTCACTCCCCCCCTGGATGCGCCGCCGAGATGAGGCACGAGGCACAAGGCTGTCCATTGGAGGCACCAGGCTGCCTGCCCCGCAGCGGCCGCTGTCGATTTTGTTCAACGTGGGGTCCTCGGAAGTCCCGACCATTTCCCCAGGGCCAGCTTTTCATCGTCTGTCATTGCTTGACGGTCCCTGGGCCCGGCGACGGCCCCCAGAGCCCAGAAAACGACGAGTAAACGCCATCTTGATGTACAGTCAAGACACTGCAATGAGGACCACCTTGGGCTCAGGAGGGGCCGCGGTTTTCGGGCCGCTTCTTGGATCTGGATAGCAGAACCTACTCGAAGCTGAGGCTCGCCGTGGCCAGCAGAAAAGCCCCTTCATTCCTCACTTGGCGTTCCTTCTGGTAGGCCGCTGACTGCATTCAATACGTTGGATGCCTGGGAACGTCTGCTGGTGGGTTTGTTTTTCACCTCCGCTACTATAAGTTGGAAGGGGGAAGGAGGTGGAGGACGAGGAGGAGGAGGAGGAGGAGGAGGAGGAGTACGAAGAGGAGGAGGAGTTGGAGGTGGAGAAGGAGGAAGAGGAGGAGGAGGAGGTATCCTCCCTCCAACTTATGGTGGTGGTGGTGGAAAACAGGCCCATCATCTGCTGTTGGGCATCGCACCCATTTTCTTCGCACCCATTCCGGTTATGCCAAGAGGCGGCGCCGTGGGGGCGGGTGCTGTCGCTGCGGGCGACGCAGGTGGGGCTGTATGCCGTGCACGCGGGGACCTCAGGGTCGGACGACGACAGGGAGGAGGAGGAGGAGGAGGAGGAGGAGGAGGAGGAGGAGGAGGAGGAGGAGGAGGAGGAGGAGGAGGGGGAGGAGGAGAGGAGGAGGAGGAGGAGGAGGAGGAGGAGGAGGAGTTGGAGGAGGTGGAGGAGGTGGTGGAGGAGGAGGAGAAGGTGGACGACATAGAGGAGGAGGAGGAGGACGAGGAGGAGCAGGAGGATGAGGAGAAGGTAGAGAAGGAGGAGAAGGAGGAGGAGGAGGAGGAGGGACGGCTACGTTACTCTGCGCCCGCCACGGTTGCTCTCCCATTAGTATATGTATTTCCAGTTCTGCATGTCGCGTCAGCTTATATTGTGTTGCGCTTCGCTGAGTCAGAATCTCTGCTTCTGTTGGTTGACCAGAAGGACACAACAGCCTTGATGCTTATGTTTGGCCAACTTAAAGAGGAGGAGGAATAGGAATAGGAGGAGGAGGAGGAGGAGGAGGAGGGAGAAGGGAAGAGGGAAAAGAAGGGGGAGGGAGGGGGGGGTAGAAGGATGAAGAGGACGAGCAGGAGAAGGAGGAGCAGAGCAGAGCAGAGCAAAGCATAGCAGCACCAAGGGTTTGTTCGAATACCTCTGATCAAAGACAGATAAACCTGCGGCATACAAAATTGAAGAATACAGAGCAGGCTTTCAGAACCTTCTTGAGCGGCCTGACTGTAAGTAACTAGGGCCCTGCAGGGGATGTCTCTGACGCAACACGCGAATTTCGTAGGGAGACACTCTGGGGGCGTCTACGAGTCTACGAATTCCATCACTTCTTTGGACCAGAGGTGGGCGTCGAAAAAGCCCGCCCCAGCACGACCGCATTATAAAGATGGGCCCTCCCCAGAGATTTGGGCGTTGCAAATGTTTCACACCAGGCGTTTTCGCCAAGTTTCAGGCCCCGGAGTCATCACAGATCGATATGTGTCGAGAAATGTTGCAGAAAAAGGGGGTCTTGGGCTCCGGAGTGATTATTGTTCATGAGGTCGTAGTTCGCGATGCCGGACATCAAGGTTTCTCATCGATTTCGGCCTTTGGGGCTTGCGATCGGGCCCCAGGGCGTGTCACTGGCACGCTGCCGCTGGCGATCCGTCAGCGAGTTACTCCGTTGTTGTTGTCTGGAGGCCTGGCGTTTCCTTGACAGTAGCACGCTGGTGGGTTCCCCGCGGCGGCGTGGCATTGATACCTTGGGTTAAGTCGGGCCTGTCCCTCTACAGGAGGAAGATTCAAATATAGACAATCATAGGCAGCAGCGTGGAATGGGGATCCCCCGCTGCAATGTCCCGGCGGAGAACCGCGGGTTACTCCCGGAGGCCGCGAGGAGGACATCCACCTCCACGCCGATATCCTCCTTGACGTCCACCACCTCATCCTCCTCCGTCCTTCGCAACAAGCACCTGCTCGTGCACCTTCTCAAGCAGCGCCACCCTCTGGCATCCCCCTCCCCATCGTCCTCCTGCTCCTCCTGGCCATCCTGGTCCTCCTCCTCCTCCTCCTCCTCCTCCTCCTCGTCCTCGTCCTCGTCCTGCTGTTCGTTTTCCTCCTCCTCGTCCTGCTGTTCCTCCTCCTCCTCCTCCTCCTCCCTTACCTCGTCCTCGTCCTCGTCCTCCTCGCGTAGTTGCGGTTGCGGTTGCGCGCCCGCAGGCGGGTTGAAATGTGTCGCCCAGTTGCGGTTGCGCGCCCGCGGACGGGGTGAAATGTGTCGCCCAGTTGCGGTTGCGGTTGCGCGCCCGCGGGCGGGTTGAGATGTGTCGCCCAGTTGCGGTTGCGGTTTGCGCGCCCGCGGGCGGGTCGGGATGCGTCGCCCAGTTGCGGTTGCGGTTGCGCGCCCGCTGGCGGGACGAAATGTGTCGCCCAGATGCGGTCGCGCGCCCGCGGGCGGGTTGAAATGCGTCGCCCAGTTGCGGTCGCGGTTGCGCGCCCGCGGGCGGGTTGAAATGTGTGGCCCAGTCGCGGTTGCGCCCGCGGGCGGGTCGAAATGTGTCGCCCAGGCGCGGTTGCGGTTGCGCGCCCGCGGGCGGGTCGAAATGTGTCGCCTAGGCGCGGTTGCGGTTGCGCGCCCGCGGGCGGGTCGAAATGTGTCGCCCAGTTGCGGCTGCGCGCTCGCGGGCGGGTTGAAATGTGTCGCCCAGGCGCGGTTGCGGTTGCGCGCCCACGGGCGGGTTGAAATGTGTCGCCCAGGTGCGGTGGCGGTTGCGCGCTCGCTGGCGGGTTGAAATGTGTCGCCCAGTTGCGGCTGCGCGCCCGCGGGCGGGTTGAAATGTGTCGCCCAGGCGCGGTTGCGCGCCCGCGGGCGGGTTGAAATGCATCGCCCAGGTGCGGTCGCGGTTGCGCGCCCGCGGGCGGGTTGAAATGCGTTGTCCAGTTGCGGTTGCGGTTGCGCGCCCGCGGGCGGGTTGAAATGTGTTGCCTTGTTGCGGTTGCGGTTGCGCGCCCGCGGGCGGGTCGAAATGCGCCGCCCAGTTGCGGTTGCGCGCCCGCGGGCGGGTTGAAATGCGTCGCCCGGGTGAGGTTGCGGTTGCGCGCCCACGGGCGGGTTGAAATGTGTCGCCCAGGTGCAGTTGCGGTTGCGCGCCCGCTGGCGGGACGAAATGTGTCGCCCAGATGCGGTTGCGCGCCCGCGGGCGGGTTGAAATGTGTCGCCCAGTCGCGGTTGTTGTTGCGCGCCCGCGGGCGGGTCGAAATGTGTCGCCCACTAGCGATTGCGGCTGCGCGCCCGCAGGCAGGTTGAAATGTGTCGCCCAGTTGCGGTTGCGCGCCCGCGGGCGGGTCGAAATGTGTCGCCCAGGCGCGGTTGCGGTTGCGCGCCCGCGGGCGGGTCGAAATGTGTCGCCCAGCGGTTGCGGTTGCGCGCCCGCGGACGGGTCGAAGTGTGTCGCCCAGGTGCGGTTGCGGTTGCGCGCCCGCGGGCGGGTTGAAATGTGTCGCCCAGGTGCGGTTGCGCGCCCGCGGGCGGGTTGAAATGTGTCGCCCAGGCGCGGTTGCGGTTGCGCGCCCGCGGGCGGATCGAAATGTGTCGCCCAGTTGCGGTTGCTGCTGCGCGCCCGTGGGCGGGTTGAAATGCGTCGCCCAGTTGGGGTTTCGCGCTCGCAAGAGGGTTGAAATGTGTCGCCTCGGTGCGGTTGCGGTTGCGCTCCCGCGGGCGGGTTGAAATGTGTCGCCCAATTGCGGTTGCGCGGCCGCGGGCGGTGTGAAATATGTTGTTCAAGGTGTCCTCCTGATATTCAGTCTGTCAGTGAGTTAATCACCGACGGGCACGGAATTGCACCCTGTTCCGCCGGGAAAAAGAATACTTGAGGGACGATTGTTCTATCATTTCTTGACCGTCTTGACAAAGTGGGAGCAGTTTTGGAGCATTTGTTGTATAATTCGCCCACAAACCGCCTGCAGGGGGACATGCCCGACCTAAATGTTGGGCAGAAGTTCTCGAGACGCGGAGGGAAAGAAACAGATCTGCAGACGTCAGGGTGGGCACATCTCGCAAGGGCAACTTGCATCCTTCGGTTCTTGCCATCCTTGTGTGAAAGGGGGCTGCCTGGCGTTTTTGAGTGTCGGTGCGTTTTCGTTCATCTCGGCACGTTCCATCTGGTCTTCGTGAGGAAAGGGGGGAGATGCAAAATCTGCTGCGTGCAGCTGGGACGCCTCCAGCGCCAGGAGGCGCCAGACAGAACCGATTGCGTGAGTTGATTCGCAAACGCCCTTCCCAATCCGTACATTACCTGACGTGTTTTGTCAAAT